GAGATGCATAATGTCACAGCCCACGCCAAAGAGGGGGAGAGATTGTGGCATACCCATAAAATACCCAGCTTCCTGATCCCTGTTTCTTGTTGCCGAGCGGCAAACTCTTGCTGTGTGCAAGAAGCAAGAACATGGGTGAGGTTGCCCCAATATTCACCAGCACCAGGAGATGGGAGGTGATTAATGTCAATGGTGTTGTGATCACAGCCTGCTTTGCTGTATATGGCTGGCTTTGTCGGCCTCTGTAGCACAGGATAGTAATGAGATGTGTCAGGAATATGTTGTCCAATCACTCCACAGTAAAGATGGCATGAGAACTTGCCATGATGCCCAACAAGCCCAGTTAAAAGTGCCATACCAGGTCTGTCAGCAGACTCAACTCAGAGAAATGGACTGCATGTCCGAAGATCGTGTGTGAGGCCGTTGAAGAGCACCAAACCCTCACGCTGAATGGCTGTGAGGTGGTATGGAAAAAGGAAAGAGTCAAGATTCTGGGGCTTGTTAGGGCCCAGGATGACAGTGATGGGTACAACATATTTTTTCTTGTAGTGTTCGGCTGGCGATATGTCAAGTATAACCATAGCAACAATCCAGCAGTCAGATTGTTTGTCCTCATAGAGCTGAGCACCGTTGGCCGCAATCATTAAGACAGGGTCACCATCTTTGATGATGCCATCCTCAACAGGCTGTTGGTACTGAGAGCCTTTGATGAAGTCGTCAAAAATGTCAAGCTCCACCGGATCAGCCACCATCCGAAGCTCGTTGGTGCAATCAGTTTGATAGCACATTTTCTGTGCCATCTCAGGATTACGTGAGAATGCCTGGAGGATCAAACTGATGGGGTTGGATGTGAATGTTTGTCAAGGAACTGGTTTCCGGAGCTTAGATTTTTCGGACAGAAGTGTGGTTGGTGGCATTTGGTACATTGAGACAAGTTTGTGTTGGGGCCTGTAAAGCCCGTACACAATTTTACACACATGTTGCTCCGCATACCCTCTACTCCACTTAACTCCTTGATGGCTTGATCTATACAATATATGCTGTGCGTATCGAGGCCGGGGACTTCTTGTGCAGTGATAGCGCAGTGGGCGAGGTACGAGTGCTGCGTGTCACCAACAAGAACGTGTTGGAGTGAAACACAAAGGCCCTGATTGGCCTGCAAGTCAACTATTGTGCGGGAGGATTGTGGAGTTGAAGGCAAGCAGTGGTCGACAGGGCATGATGGTTATTGTTGATGGTGGCTTCCTGTAGTAGTTTGACATAGGCCATAGCCTCCTTGGCCTCCACAACGGTGGTTCCCGTGTGCAGCTCGTCAACTTCTATCTCTGTCCAGCCAGAGAGAGCTTGTGCTGGGCGATTGTTGGAAGGTTGAGGTGAGGGTGAATCATGAGGCTGCTCAATAGGTGGGTCAAGGGGTAGGTGGAGGTTTGTGACATCTTCATCATCTCCAAGTGGTTGTAGACCTTGCTGAGCCTGGTTGTTGACCTCCTCGACAAGCTTGTCATCTTCGCCACCCAGCTCATCATCACTTGTTGCAAGCTCGTTGATGTCAAGAGCTTCTTGACACCAGTTGCCCTCCTCATCAAATTGGGGGTGTGGTTCCTCAAAATTGAAGGGCCATTCCTTTCCAGGCGGTATCTGTGAGAGTTTATGAGGATGAATGCAAGGCAGTGATCAGTGGTACTTACCTCAATGTTAATCTAAGCTGTCCGAGCACGTAGATAGTTGTCATCCGAATACTCAACTGCATCTGAATGATGCGAGTGTTCATCTGAGTCCTGTCGCTGTCGTAATGTAAAAAAAGTTAGAGCAAGTAGAGTAATAGACACACCTCATCAGTGCTGCCTGTTACTTCTATGTGGTCTGTCCTCTCCTCCATTTTCCTGCTCTGTTCATCCACTCTTCTCCTTTTGCCCGACTCTTGGTCTGTGTTCTTAGAGTAAACACATTTTTGGCAAGAGGATGATGCAGTGAGGGAGGACTGCAAGGACCCAGAGAGGATAGAGTTGAGCAGGAAACGATCTGCAACAAACGCCAGGAGAGGAGTGGGAGGAGCATGGTCGGCAGGTTCATCAGGGTACTGTTTCTTGTGTTTGCTTGGTGCATTTGGTGACCCGCCTTGGCTTGCCAAGATTCTTAGATAGGCAGACTGGGCAATTGCAGTCAGAGTAGTAGCCATTGTTGTCTTGAGATGGCTGTTGGATGGTGTGAACAGAGCCTGAGGCAAACATGGTGTGCGGTGGTTGCGCGCAGGGAACGGACTTAGTGGGATTTGACATTGGTGGTATCACTGCAGTACAAAATTGACTTGGATTGGGTTCCTGCGCCGACGTGAGTTCTGACTGTGGAAAACGGATTTGATGCAAGTTCGAATTGCAAAACAGATTTGATGTGAATCTGTTCTCCAAAACTTGCCTTATGTAATGTAGATTCCATCGGACCATGTGCTATTTTTGTTGTCGGTCTAGACTCAACAGAGCTGAATGTACATAAACAATAGAGAAGTAACTACAATGAGTGGTGCCAGAGTCATTTTTCACTGGGAGTAAGCTCTGGACTTGGAGAAGTTGCAACAGATGGAAGGGTACTTCAATCAAGGTAAACATACTGAGCTGAGACACAAACTCCAGGAATGTGCACACTAAAAATCTCATACATACAACAGGGCAAGAGAGCATGGTGACCTTTCATCTTCATTACCATTGAGATTGCTAGAATATATCACAGACAAGAATGAGATATGCAAGCAGTGCAAAGCAGTGCAAAGATAACCTTATGGAGACAATCATAAGCTCAAACTCCCATGGCCAGCTGGAGAAGTTTTTGGACAAAATCCCACAAAAATAAGATGAAATCTTTTGGTTTCTTATGCCCTGGGACAATTTTCCAAGACAGATGATGTATTGCTTCAAAAAGCAAAGTTATGGAGGGATGTTGTAGTTATATACAAGAAGTAGCTGGGTTGTTGTTTGATGGTGATGGAATGGAGCAAATTCGTCAGTTGCAAACCCCAATGTAATGTCTTGTGGATCTGAGAAGAAGTTGCGAGGTAGCACAATTGAATCTGATAGAGTGACATGTTTGCTGAGGAGTGTTTGGTAAACTGAGCCGTCAAAAACATCCTTACAAGTGTCAGGTATGTGTGCTGATTCTGCTTAGGATCAGTACTGCATTTTGGCATGCATCTCTGGGTTCTTGTAGAATGGGACAAGATAAGGGATTGTAGGGATGTAGAAGAACTTTTGGTGGGCAATGCAGCTGGATGGGCAAAACTGAGATGCATCATAGTGGAGACAACACTCTAGGTCTGCATTTGGGCCAAGGTAACAGCAACATGAATTAATGCAGCAGTTGTAAAGTACAGGTTCAAGCCCAGACAAAAATACTACATGAGATGATGTCAATCTGAGGGAGGGAATATTGGTTGATGGGTATATGAAACACATTTGCTTGAAGGTGTCCTCTGTTAGATTTTGCAAACCTTGAGCGTGAATGCCCAGAAGATAGCTAGGTCATTTTCTGAGATTGTATCATCTACTGGTTTGTGAGTGATAGGGAGCATGTGGGGGCATCCATTAGTTATGCACCTAATTTGCCCATCAATGTGTCTATATCTGCACCAATCTCCTTCCAAAAGGGTAGCCCAGTAGATCCAGTATCCGAGTGTGACTCTTCATCTGACTCCTTGTCTGCATGATCTGTCTGCAAATTTTTGGAAGAAGCTGAAGACTGAAGGTCTGAGTTGTCATCGTTATCCTCAACCCATGCCTTTGTGTTTGATTGTGTAGCTGTACTTGCAGATTGACCACTAAATGATTCAGGATGGCCACTAGATGATGCATGAGCTTGTACAAGTTGATTGGCCTTGTGCTGGGGAGGTGTCTGTTGGTGAGGTTGAAATGGGGATTTTGCTTTCAGAAGCTGGGGGGACTAACACTTTACAATGATGACACACAGTACAGGCACTGCAAAATATTGTACAGTAAGGACAAAACACCTTTTGATGTTTGGAGTTTGTAGAGCATACCATTTTGTATTTTTTGTGGATAGGATAACAGTGACCAGAGAAGATGTATGAGTAAAGAAAAGAAGTGTGCACATATACACACACTTGGTGGAAACCCAGCAATCATTAATTGCACCTGGGGCAGAGTACACACAAGGACATGTTAGTATTCCAATAATATGCATGCACTCTTGTATCCCAAAACTCTCCAGACATTTGCCAGCCCTGTCTACCAGCTGTCCACATCCATGAGCCCCTGCAGCCTCATCACTAGCTTTCAACAGCTTCTACTCACCTATGGGAGACAAAAACACCCCATTGCAATCTGCCACAATATGCTTGCAGCCGCCAACATACAACCCACCAGTGGCCCCAGCGGGGTAATTGGACACACTGCAAACAAGAGCAGACCTACAGCAAAGAAACTGTCCGCAGCTGCTCAGAAGGCTGTCTTGCACAGACAAGATGTCACACTCATAGCTGAAAATGAGCAGCTGAAAGGTGAGTGATTTATTGAAAAGATTTGAGGACTGTAACCTGCTTACATTGAATTCAGTGCATTTGCTGGAGTTCCAGAACACAGTTGATGCACTCAAGCTGGCAACAGAAGCTGCTCAGAGGGAGGTGGCCAAAGCCCAGAGAGCTGCTCACAAGGCACCGAATAGTGGCAAGGTCAGAAACAAGGTCCCAAAGCCAACGCATCAGGAGTGGAATATGCTTCCAAGTGGAAACAAACCTTTCACAGCCATGCATCTCTGAGCAGACATGGAGGCCAAAGAGAAAGACATCTATAACATGATTTTGGTGAGTGATTAATCAGTCCTCCTCAATGCATGTCCTTCACTGACCTTACCGGTGGTACTATAGCAAACACTAAGAACCGAGATGCACCATCTCGGGTTCGACCTCAAGGTCAAATATAAAGTGCAGCCTCACAAAAAGCTGGGTAAGCTCTTCAAAATTGTAGGTTTCTACATTTTATACCGAGGATTAGGACTTACAATTGAGTATGACTGTAGGTCTGTTGTATCTACAAGGCTGACCTCTATGAACAATATGACTTTGATTGGCCATTGGCTGAGATAGTCAAACAGTACCTGCAGAATTCTTGGAAGCCTCAAACCTGTAAACACAAGGCTGATGCCAAAATCAACAATGAGAGAATGCATACATGCACCCATATTGATGAGCTTGAAGACAGCAAAACAGCAGGGGTAAATGAAGGGTTGAATAACAGCAGCAACAAGGGTGAAGGCAAAGGCAAGGGCAAAGGCAAGGGCAAAGGCAAAGGCAAAGGCAAGGAGAGCATGGGAATGGATAGGGACTAAGGTGGAAACGGGTATGCAGTTCAGATTCAATTCACACACAAGTTGACTTTGCAGGTTTGTGCAACTGGCAATCAATAGTTTTGGATCCAAGTACCTATGCCTGACAGTATTGTCAGTAGCAGTTCTCAAATATATGCACTGTCGGAACTTCCTAAAGGGGCATTCTAATGGGTTCGGAAGTGCCTTTAATTATAATCAATAATAATGCGCATTGTAATACATCACCATCAAAGTGAAGCGACTAAAATGCCGTTTTCAACACTTACTAAGCGGTTACAATGGGAATTTTTGTATTGTTATGGCCATTGTAATGCCCTTGCCAATGGAAAGTGCCTTTCATTACGATCGATTTTTATGTATTTTCCATTGTAGTCGATTACAATGGTTCATAATGCACCTGAGAAAGTTCTGACAACATAGCATGTTGCCTGCAGTGTACACAGGTTCTATTGTTCAATTCTGCAGCATTAATGCAAGAAATACTGTAATAGCAGTATGCACATGCACGGCAGTGGCATTCCCAATATGTGCATTGTAAAAACACCACTATTGTGGGTCTATGTATCCTCAAAAATGGGGTGAAAATCACCCAATAGAGCATCATGATTTTTACCATTTTAGCTAGCTTATTTTGAGACATCAAATTGGGTGAATAACATCAAGATACTATGCTTAATATAACAAACATAAGTGGTGAAATTGACTTGTGCACTGGCGCAACACAGCTTGGCAAATGTGTTAATAGAAATGGTGATTTTCACCTGAAATAATAACTGCTGTACAGAGCGATTATTACCACTGTGCAGTGATATTCACTCCCTTGCAGATTTATTTCCACAATGTATGTGGGTGATCAACTTAGTGAAATTCACTACTCTGACATCTTACAGTGAAAAATGTCCCAGTAGGACACTTCTACTTTGGTCAGGCAAATAGCCCTTTAGCTGTATTCAAACTTAAATGAGCTATGGCTCTTTGTACTGTACAGCTCACACTATAGTTACAATTGCCTTTCTCTTTTACCTTAATTCCAAAAGACATAACAAAAGTGCTGTTCTCTCACACATACAGTTATTTCTTCCCACTCCAGTCTCATCTCCCCTACCCTCCCCCATGTCCTTGTCTCAGTCCAACATAGAAGAACCACTTCAGGTGCTATGCCCAGGCCCAGTCTGCAAGAAGAACAACAACAATCA